ATCATAACTAGTCCGACCTTCGTTTGCATTTTACCCAATCTCATGCCAATGCAATTCCGGGGACCATCCCCAAACGGATAGTAAGGTCGATTCGATTGATTTTTCCCTACTGAATTCTCTTCATTGAATCGATCTGGATCGAATTTGTTTGGTTCTTCGTAGTATTTTTCATCTCTTTGCAAGCCAAAAATTGGAATAAACATCTCCGTTCCTTTTTCAATGATTTTATTTGTATTGGGTATCTTATAATCACTCAAGCAGGCTCTATTCAGAATGGTCAATGGCGGGTACTTCCGCAAAGTTTCTGTAAGATATTTCGATAAAATTAAGTTCCAATCTGTATATCAGTCGAGTAGCAATTATATCTTACCGTCGATGCAGCTTTCTAAATATTTCATATCCGAAATTGATTCATATGTAAATTGTCCATTATGTGCTTCCAAAACTCGATCAATTTCTTCGATTACACGATTCTGAATTTCTGGATTTTTCACAATTTCATATAAACAGAACGAAAGTGTGGTTGATGATGTCTCAAATCCAGCAACAAAAAAGATGAACGCCTGTGCGGCCATTTCATTCACAGACAATGACTTTTGCTTTTCGTCTGCCTTAATGACCGTTTCCCACTTGTCATCTAACTGAACGGTTCCATTATTTCGCAATTGAAGAAGCAATTGAAAGAAATCTTTGCGGCTAACATTATTTTTTTCACGATATTCCATATTATCCTTCACCACCGACATTATAAACCGCTCCACATCTGAATTAACCGATTTAAGTCTTAAGATGCTCATTAATTTTGGCTGCACAAAACTAATAAGTCCCCGGATTACATTCATAAATGATTGATCAAGGGCTTTACGACCATTTACTCGAAATTCATTATTTGGATTCTCCAGACAATTGATTTCAATTCCAAACGCCACCGATGCGATCACATTTGTTGAGTGACATGCAGACACTTCACGTACATCCAACATTTCACGTTTCGCTGCTAATTTATCCAAATGTTTTTGTAATTTAAAGCCACATTCATTTAACGTGGATATCATTCCCTTTAATTTTCCAGATGTGAATGTTGGAGTCAATTTGCTTCGCATATTCTTCCATTTTTGTCCGGTAATCGAAAAAAGGTTGCCACTCAATGGATCATAATCCTCATTTGAGTGAACACCACGATCAGCGAAATTTGCGAAGTCTTTTACTAAAATCGAACGAACAAGTTCTGGATCTCGAACTAACAACATTGGCCGTAAAATACCGTAAATACCAATAAATGGCTCTTTTGTTGAGTTATAAATATTTTTGCACCAGTCTCCGAATGACACTTCCATTGAAAACAAACTTTTAAAATGTCCCAATAAATAGCTATACGAAGGGAGCGTTTTAAAGCCTTTTCGTTCCCAGTAGCTGTATGCATATTTTACATAGAAATATGCCAATGTTAAAGCACCAACCAAAAATGCAAACATATCGAGTTTCCAACTATCACTTAATAATGCCATTTTTAAATCAATTTAAACGTACAACGATGATTTTTCGAATTTAATTTAATAATTTATTCTTCTTCCGTTGATGTTCTGAACAAAGCACAAACTTTTCAACTGATTCAAATCTATTGCCAATTGGTTTATATAGGGTCGCTTCGCCAACGAAAGACGTCATTATATTGATAAAGATTAAACCAATTAAGAATTATAATTGGTATATAAACCAGCAAAAAATTACAATAACCGTAATATAGGTAACCGTATCTGTACGAAGCATGATTCGCGAAAAATAAATAAAAATGCGCACAATCATAATTACAAAAAACGATTTTTATATGATCGTTACTTGTGTTGGCATACTTGGAGCTAAAATATAGTCCATTCTTATCCTTTTTTGATGTTTAGTTGTGCATAATCATTCCTACGGAGTAGAATAGAATAAATTCAATTGTCATCATTTTCATTCGAAAATTGACATAATAAATTGAATTAAACTGATCATTCACCATGGTAAAAATAATTGCCGATCTGTGACTTAGTGAGTCTATATGATACAACAAATCGATTTGAACTACAGTGGATTAAACGAGTTCGTGGATTTTTTTGCTCGCTTCACTTCCCACCGTAGAAAACATTCAATAGAACTGAAAGTGAATCTTATACAATTTTTATAAAATATTGTATTACGTTCTTTGTATATACAAAACAATACTTACTTCCAAACGGATAAGGTGGTTTCAATCTGACCTCGAGGAGTAATATTTTCGATAATCGCTTTTTTACTACGGCTGACCAAAACAGCGATATTGTTGGTATAAATGATAAATTGATGGTGATGAATAATAGATAACATTTTATTAATTAAGTTTATCGATGAAAAACATTGAATACGGAAAAGGCCATAAAACAAAACTGTTAGGTATGTTTGTATGCGACAATTGCATCATCTATCATTTGATACATCAATTTTTACAATTTCTCAACCGTATCGAAAGTCATTTATGTCAATCTAAAAAACGCAACAACAACAATCATTTATAGACGGATTGTACTTTTCGGTGTGTGGTCTTTTACAAAACGACTAGACTCAAATTCCTCTGACAATTCCTCTCCAAACTTCCCTATCGAGAGCCAGGTCTTGAGTTTCCCTACACCAATCATACCCTCTAACATCCAAATGACATTTAACTGAATCCAAATAACGTCTACGGGGTCTTCCTCTGTTTCTCGGTCCATCTGCGTCGGCATACAAAATCTTCTTTGGCAAACGCAACTCACCCATACGTTGGACATGTCCAAACCATCTCAGTCTCGACATTCTTGCAACTTCATCCACCGACACAACATTCAAATCATCTCGAATTCTCTCATTTCTTATACGATTTTCCCATTGGTCTCTACGCGATACTCCCGAAATCATTCGCAAAACTTTCATATCAGCCACTTCCAATCCATGAATTAAATTTTGAGAATCGACCCAGCTCTCGCTTCCGTAAAGGATAGTTGGTCTGAAGATTGACTGATGAATCAACAATTTCGTCTCCTTACTCAACTCACGTTTACTGAAAACGTGTGATCTAAGCAGTAGCTTATTTCCACAGCTTAGAAAAAAAGCAATTTTCCCAAAAAAAAATTTGTGTTCTCATATCAAATAATGACTAATATTGTGAGTTTTGAAAAACCTTAGTACTTATTTTCCAATATTTAAAATCAAAGTTTAATTTTTCAAGTTGAAATTCACAACATGTATACAAACTGTTTTCAAATAATATTTTCAAATTAATTTCAAGTGTTGCCATATTCAATACACATAAGTCTTTCAAACAGAAATGTCAGATCATCCATCGGTGTATTGTTTACAGTAGAAAGTGAAGTACGTGTTTCGTTGTGAGTGTGAGTATATATTTATAAATTCATTCATTGTTGTCGATGTATTTCCTTTGCCGACACATCAACGCAAATACGTAATACCTTGAATTTCATTGGAAGCCGACACTCGTCGTCAAAAATAATGTTTAATCTTCATTCAACCATGCAGTCGAAATGGTTTTCGTCGATCTTCTTCGTCACAATCTTGACGATTGTGTTAACATCAGCAACAAATACTTTCGAAACTATTTCGGACGATGATTTAGTGGACCGCATCAAATCAAATGAATTTGTGATTGTATTTTTTGGTAAGTGACCAATTTAGTAATAATCCACATGCAAAAGAAATCTCGTAAATTTGTATGTAATGTTGTTATTTCAGCAAAAAAGAGCAATTGTGTTGATTGTGATAAATATGAGAATGAATTGTTTAAAATTCGCGATGAATTCAGAGATATGTTTCCAGCCCAAGTTGTAAAAGTGATTGACAGTCAATTGGTGCGTTTGTATAGCCCGAAAAAAGAGCCGGCCATCGTGTTCTTCCGCCACGGTGTTCCATTGCTCTACTCTGGAAATATTAATAGCGATGAGATTTACCAAAAACTCGACCAAAATCGTACGCCCACAGTGAAAGAGCTTACGGATGACACGTTTGAACATCTTACACAAGCTGCAACTGGTGCCACAACCGGTGACTGGCTGATATTATTGTAAGTTTTTGCCACCACAAAATGGTTAAGATTTATTTTCAAATTCATATTTACTTGTTTAGTTACAATCGGGAGTGTATTGATTGCCAACGGCTTGGTGCGGTGTGGGAAGCTGTGGGTGCGGCTCTTCGCAATCGTGTCAATGTTGCTCGCGTTGACAAAGATTTTCGTGGTATAAAAACAGCAAAGCGATTCGGTGTTCAAAAAGCACCGGAATTCATCTTGTAAGTTTGAATGGAAGACAGCAACCGAACTATATCGAAGTTTGAATTGAATTATTTACTTTTTAGCATTCGACAAGGGAACTTTTATCGTTACGATATTCCGAAATATGATATCAAGTCATTTGTATCATTTGCTCAAGAATTCTATCGAAATGCACGAGCTGAAAAGATTAAAGCACCAGCATCACCATTGTAAGTACATTTTAGACGATGTGACTGTTAATTTCTTTCACTAACATTGACCGATTTTGTTTTTGTTTCGTTTTGAAAGTGATGAATTGGTGGCATCAATTGTGATGTACATCAAGAGCTACCAAGCAAATGGAATCAACAATTTAATCAATGATAACACGTATTTGCTGCCAGCCATCACTGTTATTGGCTTTATTCTGTTTATACTTGTGCTCAAGTGTTGCTTGCGATTCCGTAAATCGGGCGATGAACAGAAGAAAAAGGAGAAGAGCAAAAAGTCAAAATAGATCTCGAAAATAATTCACAAATAGTTTTCTATAATAAAATTGTTCATTCCATTCAGTACGGTTTTAATCGATAAAATTCGCATTGCCATGTGCATATGACGATGATTAAAAAGAATAAATGATAATTATTAGCTCGTGATCAATTTAGCATTGAACAGTCCAAGATGCACATGATTTTGTTTATGTATTAGTGAGCGGTGATAGTTAACGGCAGCACAATGATCTAAACATAGATGATAAATGTAAATTGATTAAAACTCAAATAAACGTCCTTCTTTTTTTCATTTTTTTTTTTAAATTCTCTTTATTCAATTGAAAAACAAAATAGTTGAATCGAAAATGTAAACAAAACCCCTCAAGTTCGCATTAATTTTCAATAGATGTCGCCATTCGTCCAATAACAATCGTAGATTACAAATGTCAAAACACTTGAAATCGACATGACATTCATTCAAGATAAATTGTTTGCGTTGGTAAGTTGCACTGAGAAAGCAATAGCATTCCGATACATAAACATACGATTGTCGTGTAACTTGACGCGCCTTCCAGCCGACAAAGTTTATCGTTGTGCAAGAGTGAAACGGACACGATACAATTCATACACGCACACACATTGACCAAAATTCAACGTTGCGTGTACGATTCGAATCCAAATGTTGTATGAAGTGAGAATGTGTCGGGCTCCAGAAGTGTAAGACAACAGCCGAAGACGGAGCAGCACCACCAAAGCAGAACATACAACCAATGAGTGTGTGTGTGTATCTGTGTGTGCTTGTGTAAGTGTTGATCTATGTATACGCTCGATTATTTGGTACGTTCATGAATTTTGTATTTTTTCGTATTCAATATGGCGAAAGCAGTGTTTGACGTTGGGTGTGTGTGATTTATTGCGCTGCGTTTTTCATGTAATTAAGTATAGTGCTAAATTTTGTGTTTTTCTTCATTTCAACAAATTTTTTTTCTCTGCATTTACAATTTGTATTCATTATGTAAAAAAAAGATCAATTTGCGGCACTTTTTTCATAAACGATTCCAAGTTTAAGTGTTTACTTTGAATTCGAACATATTTCATTTTTTAAGAGACGCAAAGCAAAACCAGCTAAAAAAAAGAATCCACATCAAAAAAGTGTTGATCCAATCCAGTGTAGATGCTATCATCGACCCAATTGAATGTGAGAAAAAAAGAAAAAAAGAATAACTGGGTGTAAACGGGAATTGGGCAAAGTGAAAAAATATATGCAATTTTCATATTATTTTAAGTATTTTATTTCGTGCGTGAGTGATATTTAAAATTGAAGAAAGAAAAAAAGTTTGTTACACATGCGATAATTGGATGAGAAAGAATAATTTCATTGTTGCCAAACAGAAATTTACTCAAAATAAGGCGAAACACGAAAAAAACCCGTTTAAATAATTAACACGCGAAAAATCATAAAACAATCAATAACACAATGGTAGTGCAGCAGATCGAAATGAAACCATTCATGCAAATTGTTTGAAACAAAAGGGCGAGATGTTAGAGTAAGTGACGTTTTTTCTGCTACCCCATAGCAAACAAACAAAAATTATTAAATAGTCTTGTTCTCATTTCAATTGCGCTCCGTTTGCATTCAATTAGTTCAAGTAGCTCGTACATTAGCTGCAAGCTATTGATCAAATGATTTTTTCAATGAATTTCATTCCGATGCATGGGAAATGTATGTAGTATGTGCAATTATTTTGATAATAATTAAACACAAGAGTTAGAAAAATACAAACGAAAAGAGTGACAGAGAAAAAAACAGGGTGTAACACGCATACCGTTGCAGTACGCATACACATTCCGTCGGAGAGTCGCTCGTCACATATATATGATTATTTTAGCTGTGATGACTGGAATGCGATGAGTGTGTGCGGTGCGCGTAAGAAGGAAAGTGAATTTAAAATCAACTCGTCAAATTGTTGTACTCACCGAGTGAGTTGACTTTGGCGAGTGATTGTGTGTGAAGTGAGAGAGCCCTTTTTTTTAACCAAATGGGGCCACGCAATTTCAATGTCGATGTGCGTACCTATACGTATATACACTGTACACGCACTTACGTATTAAAAGTACGTCTAAGCTGGTTCTAGCTGTGCGAATATTATCTCAATTTATTTCACGTGCATACCGAAATAGATACCAAATGTATACACAATCGATTGTGATAAACATAACAAAATTCATTCATTCATCCATGACATTTGTTTATTCATGCATCCATACCATGTGATTGACAAAAATCGATTAAACGCCATATATCTTTTGCGTTGTTGGACTTTAAATTTATACGAAATAAATATTTGTACAATTCGTTTTGAGTTTATTTTTCCGGTGGCCATTGTCATTGTAAGTAAATGTGTACACAAAAGAATGTGAAAAATTCATTGATGCGACGAGAAAAGAAAACAAAGGAAAATGCAAATAACTCTTCATCTTTTATTATCATAGTTGATGGATTTATTTGCATGAAAACTAAATAATTCTTTGGTAATTGTCGCTTCACAACTTAAAAGTGTACGGAAAATGGGCCTTTTCATGTTGAAACCAGAAAAAAGAGCGCAGAGAAAATGCTTATGACATGAATTTCTGTATTATCTGTGGTTGCCATTGTATACGCATTCGTTCCAATACCAAAATGTGGAAAATGGCAGCGGGGAGAACGAGAGATGGCAACTCAACCAATAACAAAAGCAAGTACTGTTGCGATACAGGCACAATGATTCCTTTGGAAATTAGGTCGCTGCGCTCGGTAATAATGTTAAGCCATCAAAGAGCATCCATCCACTTTTTTCTCTTACTCTCTCCCTATCGGGTGTATCAACTTCATTCGTATACTATGACAATACATAACACAGTATGTATATAGCATGCCACAATAAGCAATTCGTTTGTCTCTGCACGTAGCGTTTTCCTATCAAGCGCCACTTATGCCTCCTGCGCGGATGCGGTTGCTTACGTTTTTTAAATTTTGTTCAACGGATGCCTGTCGAATAATCATTTTAATGGGATTCTTCATGGTTCGAAGTATATGTGATCGATATGAATGGGTCTGATAAAATGAATGGCACATCTCAATGTGATATATCAAACATTTAAAAATTGATTGATTTTAATGTTTTATGTGCATAATACTCAGCGATTACCGACGATAATTTATCGTACTAAAGGTGAATTTGAAAAGAGTTAAGAGGCTATATTCTCCATCGATTAATCCGTCGGTTCAGTCGGTTTAGCAAAAAAAAAAAACTTCGAGTGGTTTAGAATTGAATTCTGAAGGGTGCATTTGCATATTTTTATCATCCTCATTGATGTTCGGTATACAAGTGGAAATTTTTCTGAAGAAAATTTATGGGTTTAAGGTGTGTCCTCCGGCGATATTTTTGCATCATGAAAAAAATAGTGTCTATTTTCAATGTATTTGTTTTCATTAAAATGCTAATTCGAATTAGATCTATACAATGCCATCCACTTGCAATTTACGGACATTTTACAACATACATACATTAAAATAATGGCAGTTAATGTTTGCCAACCAGAGTTGCGGTTCAATGAAGAAAAACCCAATCTACTGGATAATTAGTGAATCAATCGAGTAATTGTGTTGCTATTTTTAATCAAAAATATTACAGCATTGCTTGTTGTTTATTCATATTTTTCTAAGTGACCATGGAAAAAATTGGTTATTCTATTAAAAAAAATAATGTATTACGTAAATGGTCGATGTGTCGATCAAAATGAGGCGCACCTGGATATTACGTATGTTTTTTTCCGTTCATTTTCTCTACCGTTACCGCTCATCGATCGATACGGAAAAATGATGTCGTTTCATTTGGAGTTCCGGTTGTTCGATAACATTCGTAGCTGTTTATTTTATCATGCGCTTTCATGCACTTATGAAATGAATTGGCAAAAATGTCGCTGAACTCAGTCATAAATTCAACCAAATATGGATTAGAGCCATAGAAAATGGTATATAATGTGGACAGCATTTTGTATCGCAAAAATGGCAAATCAAATGAGAATAGAGAAGAGAAGAAATGCACAAACGTCAAATAACTAAATATGGATGTGGTTTAAGTGTGAGGCTTATGCCCCGTTAAGATAACACAGTCAATGCATTTTGGCCTCGATGCACAGCACACATCCATTCACATCGCAGTGACAACACAATTTTATTACACAATTTAAGCTGGAGATTGTGTCGATCCTTACCGGCACTTGAATTCAACGTCGAACGAACACAATATTTTTTTGTTGTTTTTGTGTCCAATAAAATCCGAGTCTATCAAAAGCCATAGATAACGTCATTGCCCGCAGTGTCAACAATAAATTTGATTTCGAAGACACCGAGCATTCACGCGATTGCAGCGTTTTTATATGTGAAAAATTTATTTCACATTGTGGTTTGGGATTGCACTCGACGAATATGGAGCGCACAAATAATGGTTCAATCATGTCGCATTCAGGAGTTGAAATTACTGTCAGTAAAAATAGTCATTGAAAAAAACACATAAGTTGAACATGTTTGTCTTGCTGATAGACGTGATTTGATTTGTTTTTTTTTTTATCTTATCAAGAGGCCGACTGAAATTCATTTTATCATCCAAAGCGAACATGAAAAAAATGTAATTCAATAAAGAAATGGCTATGTTCAAGAGGCTTTGGCCTCTTTCTGTTTCGAACCGTCTTCAGATAAAATATTTTTTTTGTTTCTATTTCTGCTTGATTCTATCGATTTTTTATTATAATTTTTTTTACCAATGCTTAATTCATATCAGTACCGGTTTACCCACTCAACCGCATGCCTTCGAAACCGTTTTACAAATGATCGAAACGATTTTATTCATTTGAACTGTGCGCTCTTCTACATTTATCGGCGTGTGTTCGTATTCGCTATAAATCAGGTGTGACCCCAAATCAATTTAAAATGACATGACATTTGATTTATTCTCAATAATCCGGATTTTAATTTAAAAAAATCATACAGTTTATTAAGTCAATTAATGGATGTGTACGATTGCAATTTCCAAAATTGAATTGAATGCCAGTTTCATAAAAGATATGATAATATTGACGACAAAATCCAATTAATGCCGGAAATTTGTTTTCAAAGAACAAAAGATTTATGTGGTATGGTATTGTTGTTGGGATTTAGAAACGTAGGTTGTCAGCAGACAATATTAATCACAATCATAATCATCGTCGTCGTTCACAGCACAAACCACAGCCAATTTACTGTCGTACAGATGTATTACATATGCGGCGACATGGAATATCAACTACATGTATTTGGATGTATTATAACGATATGCCAAAAATATATTCAGTTTTGTTCATTAGAAAAAGCCAGCTGTGTCGCACATTTATTGCGACAATGACGACGAGAACGACGAAAACGGTGAATACAATACTCGACGTTGAAACTTCTATAGATTATTATCTACCAAATATAAACGAGTTTTTCATATTTTTAAGCTCATCACATTTTGTCATTTGCGAGGCAAATTGATCACGCGATGAAAATGAATAACAACAATCACCGCAACAAAGACGATGGAAATGGATAGAGAGAGAAAGAGAGAATAAAAAGAACAATGTGAAATGCCATAAATTCTTTTAAGTCCAACCCACGATACACACACGTTACGACTTTCTTTAGTCACAAATTCTTCACACTTGAATCTCGTCTACGATGATGATGATGCACGCGAACCTTTTAATTTACTCTGAGCACACACACACGCTGAATAGACATTGTATGCGCATTTCTAAACAAATCCACTGCCACAGTGTTTACGTAATTTTGTTATTTTCCACAGAAACTAAAGCCTAATATATCGACTAAGCAAATCATTAAAACATTTAACGGTTCATGTTGTTTATCTGGCTTTCTAGCACTCTCCAGCCAGCTTATATTGGATCTTTTCAATCTTAAATCAACTGAAAATTTGTTCATGTTATGTTTGACTTTCTCGAAATGCAAACAAGCATTGGATTTGTTTTTTTTTTTTTTTTTTTTTTTTGTTAGAAAATCATGTGCCTCCACGAAAATGCTTATCCTGTAAATAAAATCGAATATCCGAATAGAATTAACGCTGTCAGAATCTCATTTCAGTATATGCGTGCGCGCCTGCGAAGTCAATCTTACCAACACGTGTGTGAATTCATTATTATAGCATTTTATATCGGTGCACTGCATTCAGCACGGAATTTATCTCTGTGTGCACAATGACATGTGTTTATAGTTAGGAATGCATTCAAGCGATGAGAGATGCAAGTCACAAAAAAAATACGAAACAAAAAACGCAGTATTTTAAACGATGCTTTTAAGTTAAAATTTATGCTCACATCCTTTTGCGCTGAGATTGAGTTTTAATGTTGTTTATTTTTATTTTCATTTTTACAGATGACTTCAACGATTCGGTGTAAACTAGTAAATACGACAAACAGTTTCATTCGACGTCGACGAAAAACTTGAAGTTCATTTTAATTGAGCAGTGATTTAAATTGGCGATTCCGACCTTTTAGCACAGCACTACCCTCATTAAACCATTAAATAGTCACGAAACATTTTATTTGTTTTCGCCAATCAACGACAAACGACCGTATAAAAAACGAAAAAAAATGGCACCATCACAAGCGTCGACATCGGGAAATCGAATGACTCATTCGCTCAGCACACCATCCGGCGTGGATGGTTCGGCGTCCACAGTGAGTCGTGGCTCGAAAAAATTAGCCATACGCGTACAAATGCTCGATGATTCAGTCACTTTGTTCCAAGTGCAGGTAATTTTATTTGTAGTTTTACTTTTTATTATGATGACGATGATTGTGCTCATTCATTCCATTCCATTGAGCACACCCATTTCCTTTAAGTTGATTTAATTTAATTGGTTGCAACATATCCAAGCAGTATAAATAAATTCATGCAAATTTAATCAACTTGAATGCATTTTGCATATTTCCAGGCCAAAGCGCTGGGAAAAGTTTTATTCGAACAAGTTTGCCGACAGCTCAACTTACTCGAAGAGGATTATTTTGGTCTAGAATATCAAGAAACTACGTCAAATGTTAAAGTAAGTAAACGTTGACATATTTGGTTGATTTTCAAAGAAAAATTTCCATTTTCGTATGAATAATTAATGGTTTTTGGTTTTGAACATTTTCAGTATTGGTTGGATCTAGAAAAACCAATAAATCGACAAGTTGGCCTATCGCTCGTTGAACCCATGCTTAAATTTTGCGTTAAATTTTACACACCCGATCCTGTGCAGTTAGAAGAAGAATTTACACGGTAAATTATATCGAACAATGCTTTAAAAAAGTTTTCTCTTCAATTTTTTTTTTTTTTTCAAACTTTTACCACAGATTTTTGTTTTGCTTACAAATCAAACGAGACTTAGCTGATAATACATTACAATGTAACGATAATACAGCTGCCTTAATGGCCAGTTACATAGTTCAAGGTGAGTTCTATTTTTAAAACGGTTTCTCGTTTTCATTTGCCCTCGAGCGCATTTTAATATTGGATATTGTTATATTTCATTGTAATAGCATCGTGTGGCGATTATGTAGCCGAAGATTATCCGGATCACACATATTTGTCATCGTATCGCTTTGTACCGCATCAGGATGCGGCAATGCAACGACGAATTATGGAAAATCACAAAAAGCATGTGTAAGTGATGGCCGCAATTTGAATGAACCTTTAAGTGGCATGGCCACTGTAATATTATCAGAGTGATTGATTGAAATTTTTATTTTCCTCCAATAACATGCAGAGGTCAAACGCCAGCTGAAGCCGATTTGAATCTATTGGAAACAGCACGACGCTGTGAATTGTATGGCATGAGAATGCATCCAGCCAAAGACATTGAGGGTGTGCCACTCAATTTGTCGGTTGCCCACATGGGAATTGCTGTATTTCAAGGCATCACACGAATCAACACATTCTCTTGGGCAAAAATACGAAAAATTTCATTTAAACGAAAACGTTTTCTGGTCAAACTTCATCCTGAAGGCTATGTATGTTACATTTACATGTCTTTTTTTAGCTTTTCAAATTATCATATTTATTTATTTTTTTGGGTCTGACGTCACATTTGTATTTTCAGGGTTATTACAAAGATACGGTGGAGTTTTTCTTTGAAACACGAAACGAATGTAAAAACTTTTGGAAAAAATGTGTAGAAAATCATGGTTTCTTTCGTTGCACAATGGTGCAATCGACGCCCCGGCGAAAAGCACGCGTTTTATCACGTGGCAGTTCGTTTCGGTAAATATTTTCATTTTCATACTATCAATCAGATGAAATGTTTGTTCCGTTCTGATTTTTTTTTTGTTTTTATGTTACGACCCACAGATACAGCGGAAGAACGCAAAAACAAATTGTGGAATTCGTGCGTGAAAATTATGTCAAGCGACAAGCATTTCAAAGGTGAGTGAATTGCACTTGATTTTTGTTGGTCTTTCTCTCGGTCGAAATGACGAGCTACATTTGCACGTGTTCGCATTTCATTTCGATTTTATTTTGTTAATCGATGTCTATTATATGCATAATATATATATTTCCGAATTCTTTTCAAGTTTATTTTTTTTTTGTTTGGTTTATGTTTTGATTGATTCGTCTTCGGTTTCGTTATGAGTTTTGTTTTGCTGCTTCAATTCTATTCACATATTCTATTTTAATATCATTGTTTCCATTTTAAAATTCTACGTGTTCTTTATATGTTTAAATATGATATTAGATTTACCGATGTTTCATGCATATACATTTATTTCTCATCTCAATTGATCAAGAGCACAAGCCAATTGTTATTGTTTCCTCCACTGGACTGAACGAAGATATACTAACTGTTTTAGTTTAGACATTTTTCCAATTAAATTGGACTTTTCGATCGCATGTCAAAACATAGTTTCATTTAGCATAAAAAAACATTCATTGCCATGATAGTTGTTTTTATTAACAAACAGAAAACTCTCTGTGTGTGTGTTCATGCTTTTATTCATTCAATTCTCGAATATTGCACATTTTGATAAATAAACACCATAAGGATAGCTTTAGGTGGAATTAGATGAGATAATGATGACAAACGCAGATGAAATATGATTTTTTTTTTGAACATTAGACGAGATCATGTATTTTAATCTCGTATTTGAGTGGGTAAAATTTGAAGTGAGAACAGTCAGCAAAGCACTTTCGATCTTATATGTACAACCTACCGTTAAGAAGTGATTGAGAAGTGTCTTCGGCAAAGTGCAAAATTTTGGCAAGACACTCTTCGGCTGTTTCTGATCAGGAAGTAACATATGTTCGAAAATGCTATTCCCACCTTCATTCTCAACGAATCATTTCATTTTTCTGTGCGTCATTTAGATAAATTACCATGAGCCATTCTATCATTTTCATCAAGAAAAATGTCTATGGGTCGATCAACGAAATCGGTTGCATAAGACGGTTGCTTCTAATAATGAGGTGCTTGTTATACTCAATGTAAATTAACGTTTAAAAAATTGCTTGTTAACTTCTTGTAAATAAGCACTGCGCCTATTACCTACCCCTACTGCTGGCACGCCTCTTTACAGTGCAAACACTTATTTCTATGAATGCGACATTCAAACACACTTCATTTCATTTCATATCTGTGATTTTACTTTCATTTTTCTCTGCTCCTGTGTTTTTTCTCTTAAAATCTGTTTTATTTAAATCTGTGTTTCTTTCTTTCAAAAACAAAACAAAATGCAACAAACAACTGAACTTTAAACAAAAACAATTCAATGTTTTCCGATTCGTGACTATCAAGTGCATGACAAATGCAGCAATTTATTTGCAACGTTATCAAAGTTTCATTGATTTTGATTCGGCAAAATAAAATTAGAAATGTTGTGCGAAATATTCTCCGAAAAATTTAAAGAACCGGTGCAATTTAATAACAGACCATTGATATAGATTCGTGTGTTCCAATTTGAAAATTATAAATGTTGTGTTCGTTCCGGCAGGTCTCAATCATTTCGTCAGGGACCACTTCAAGCTAGTAATCGAAGTCTGTCGCACAATTCGTGCAATGTGAATTCCAGCATTTCAGCACATCCTTTGCTCCCGATTGAGACTGGTTTGTACATTTTTATTTCAATTTTGTTTTTGTATTATTTGTTTTTTTATTCCTTTTTATTAAGTTGTATCATTTCAAATTTCTCCCTAATTTTTTGTGTTTACGTTTTTTTTTTTTGAGGGTTTTTCATTTCGGTTTATTTAAGCGATGTATAATTTTTGTAGCAAAAAAAGCAGTGAAGTGACACCGTATTCTGTCTACCAATTATGTACATGTGATTTAATTTTGATTCTATTTATATTCAACAGCGGAATGGGACTATCGCAATCCGAACAAAAATTCGATGACGCCTTCTCAGACGAAGAGGCAAGTGAATACACCGAGTCACCAACACGACAGTCGTACCGAACACACGCGGTCTCAAGTGAGTAGAAATTAAAACTCAAGTCTGTCACTCTAGTGCGTTACTAATGCGAAACATTGAACGAATGATTACAGGTCACAGCAGCCCAGGTGGAGATTTATCCGACGAAGACTTCTGCAGTAACAACGGAACACATGGATTCGAGTCACTCTGCATCTCCGGCAACCACATGGAACTCTCGCAAACAAAACAACAACAATATGCGCGAAATCGATCCGGTTCATGGACGTTCCGAAGGTAAATATTTATATAATTTTGCAAATTATTTTATTTTTTTTCTTCTATCAAAATCCACATTCATTTATTCATCTTCATTTCATATCATTTCGTTCATTTTCATATTTGAGTTCAAATTATGATTTCTACGCAACGACTGAAAATAATATGTATGTATGATTTTTTTAAATGATACAATTTCCATCGTTTGTTTATCGTTTTTCAATTATATGCTTGAGTTCAGTGATCAACGATGTTTATTTTTGGTATACCTTGTGTTCTGGTTTGTGTTTATAATTTGGTATTATAAATTAAACAACAACAATAAAAAAAAACCGAATTCATTACTCATGTTCAAAATCAATATTTTCACATTCATTCATTTGCCATGCGTGTGTCCATTGATGAAGATCCGAACCGCAACCGTTTTGCTCATGTGGTGTCGCAAGACACCTTGCCTCATCACAACCACAAATACACCTCGCCACCGCATATGAGCCAAGCTGTCGAAACGGATTCGGCGGGTATCATCCAACCGCAGCCGCTCCAGCCGGCGCACAATGTAACTGCTGTGCCCTCCGATCAATTGGATCGGAGGCACATCTATACCCAGCAACGGCATGCGGCGGAGAGTTCGCTCACAACACAATCCTCGCAAACAACCACCGCTTCGGTGGACATCCATACTACGGATCATACCATGGATCAGCCGCAAATCTCACATTGGCCACAAACCGACGCCAACAATGTTTGCAAACAAACCCATTATAGCAATACGTTTTTGATGTCTAAATCCGTCAGCACTGAAGAAACGCAATCGGATGACATCAGCAGCGGTCCCGATAATATTATTTACCAAGATATTAATGATTTATACCGAAATCGTAACGGTAGCAATAATAAACTAAATCCAACCAATAGCAGCAACTATACAAATTATAATCCAAATCAAGCACTAAACAATAATAATGCAATTGTTATGGCTGATTTATATGCGACAATTGATCGCAAAGCAAAAATGAAATCACGCGAAAATATGCAAAATGCTATAAACAACGACGATAAACGGCAACAATATAGCAACGAATATATTGATAAATCAAATCGAAATTATCCCGACCGTATTTATTCGTCGGCTTATGCAAACGAAATGATTCCCACACGAGATCCAATGCCAGCACCATATAATACGGGTGCTCGTCACAGTAGTGCCGGTTTAATGGGCGATATTGAAGGCAAAATTAAACGTAACTATGATCTATCCGCAATTGATTCAATTGAATCGTATGACAGTCATCAATACTCAAGCACCCATCATCGGTCGTTAAATAATTTAAGTAATAAAAATAATGCAAATAATGAAGCAATTGCATCACAAGGTGGTGCGGGTGGTGACCCAGGCTATAGCTCGTTGAAGAAAAATTCGTCTGAAAAACTGGAATATGAACTTTCACATTCGAATATTTACTCGTCGGTTCAATATAAATCAAACGGTGGCCAATCAACCACACTGCCCAGACACTTTCAATACAGCGATGAACGCGATGATAACGAAAATGTTGTCATCGACGATGGTTTGGTTGATAAGGATACATGGCTGCGTAGTAGCTCATGCAAAGATCTTTACGATGTGGTTGAGTATAAAGGTACACGAAATGCTTCCACCTGTACAAATCAACCCGAAAGTTTTGATCGTGAATTTTTGGCATTCAATCGCATTGATTCGCCAGTTACGCGTTATGATGATGCACTTCGTTCAGCGTACACTCCGAAAAAACCATCGATCGAAGGCAAAGAAGAATTTAATTCATTTTCAAAAGTTTATTCGTCAAGTTATCCGGGCACAACATACAATGCTCTCGATCAAACTCACAAACGCAACAGTCACAATCACATTGAATGTGCTGCATCCGATGACGAACTATCGCATGACAGTTATGAACTATTAGAAAAATCTGACATTGACGATGAAGACGAACGATTGTATAATGAAATGGTGTATAATGCACGAAAACGGCATTCGTATCAATGTGAAACGGCGCTGGCTTATGAAAAATCACAAACGATGAGAAAACCCTTGAATCTGTATCATCAACGCTCGTGTTCACTTGACTCGGGCAATTACATTCCGACCGATGACGAAAGCATCGGTTCAGATGTGGCCAATGAAATTCAACAAGGTGGTGCCTATGCACTCTTTCAACATTATGCCCAAACACATTACAATGGCTCCTATGGCCCGAGTAAATATCGAACCCATGTATTCGAAGATGAGAAATCTAAAAGTGCCGCAGATTTAATGAATGATAATGAATTTTTCCTACTTGAAGACGCTCGGTATTTGCCACGAGAAAAAATGTGCGTCAAATCCGATGGAAATTTCTATAAGCAAATCAAAGAAGCGATGCGAGCATCGAGTCAAGACTCCAAAATTGACTACTATTACGATGATGACAATGAAGATTATAATAAACATTCACTGAAAAGTAATGATTCAAGTAAAAAATCACGAGACAGTGTTTATCATACGGATAGTAAAAAATCGCGTGAGACAACATCAAAAAGTAAAACATCGTTGATTGGATCGGGTTCGGGTGGTTTTAATACATCATCTCGTGCATCGAGTCAAGATTCAAAAGAATCGCTCGACGATGGTAATATTATCGATTTGACATGTGGCATGGCCAGTTCAAAAAACTACGAAATGCCAAAAACAACGAGCAAAAAAATTCAACAATTTACAAATCGTCGAATGAGCAGTGAGCGCACATCAAGCGTTGAATCAAAAAGTGAATATTATATTGCGGCTGGAGAATTGAACGAAGAGGAAATTCAACATTTGTCACATGAAAATCTACTTAAAGAACTTGCTTCGTCCAAGCATTCGTATTACGACAACGAAATCACCTATTCATCGACATTCCCAAGTAGTAATAAGAGTAATTTTAATTGTAATGGTAAGCGTAGCACAACCACTAGTGCTTCAACGCCAACCACTCACGTTCATTCGATTAGCTTACAAAATGTCGAAACTGATCCAAACGCCAGAACGAATGCATCGTATGCAAATACACCGACAAGCGGATCAATTAAATCCGCAAACGATAAACCGATTGCCATGATTATTGCCGAACAACAGAAAAAATTGTCAACGGAATTGAGCGAGGAATATCGACGTAGTTCGGCCGATAATATTTTTAGCTTTGATAAAGATAAAATTCAATCGTTAACTGGAAGTATTGAATCACCTCCACCACCGATGGTTCCAACGTCGGTACAGTATACGGAAAAATCCAAGAAAAGCCCCGAATATCCATTGACTCCAGAACTGATGTCTGAATTTGATAAACAAGTTATCGAATCACCGCATTTAATTTGTAGCACCAAAAGTAGTCGATTAGAAGAATTAATAGCAAAAACACACTTTGAAGAATATAATCCACGTGCTGATAGTAATATTGCGAAAACAAGTACCTCCCTTTATCACCCACATGCAACTGTTGAACGCACCAAAAGTGATCCCAACTCGCTTGCAAATCGATCACGGTTAATATCCAATTCACGGCGACATGTGCTTATGCATCAAAAATCGATTGATCTAACACCGGCCGATACAAGCGACGAAGAGTATTTCTATAAGCAAATTCCAAGCGCACCGCCGGTTGTGTGTAAATCAAATTTTAAGGGAATGTTTAATGCCAATCATCCTTGTGATTTGCCGAATACCGATTTCACAAAGGGATTCCTGCGCAACTATGAACAAAAACATTTGCCACTTTTGAAAGATGATATTCCCTATATTTTACACAAAAGAAATGTAATGAACGGCACCGCACCATCACCAAAGCAAAAAGTTAAATCACCAAAATCACCAAAGTCGCCAAAGTCTCCGAAATCACCAAAAAACAAAGACAAAAAAGGAGACAATGATAAAAAATCGGGCGATATTAAACCAGACATTTTACCCGATTTACTCGATAATTTGGCGAAAACTGATAAGGAATCGGGTTTTTTATTCACACAAAATATTGATTTGTCGGCCGTCGATCCAGTTACTTTGGAAATCGATAAAAGTCTGTCGCCAACCGTTGCTCCAATGAGTCCCAAAAGTCGAGACATTACCAAACGCATGGACCCCAAAATGATGGAAACTCTCAATCATAAATTGAGCCAAATCGAAAGTGATACAAGTTCAAAAACTGACAGTTTACATCGAATGCGCGGCTCTGGTGGCGCTGTATCCAAAATGAAAATTGATACGCAAAAAAATGATGCATCCGATATTAAATTAATTGGCGTAAAAAAGGAAATAAACCAAACAACGACGATAAAACGTATAATCAAATCACGTGTTTCGAAAGGTAAAGGAACCCGAACTGGTCCACGAAGAAGTAAAATTCGAATAACATCATTTTCATCGGACGATGAAAGCATTGATTCGGATGAAGTATTTGGTTCGGCTGAAGCGGTTCCATCACGTTTGGAATTTTCACCGCCACAATCACGAAAAGAGATTGAACCAATTTTAAGAATAGAGCATAGTAAAATAATGTCAGCGGCCTGGGGTCGTGGTCAAACGATGAGCTCAACTGAGGTCGAAGGTTCACCGCCACAGACGAGACGGCTAGCCGAATTGGAGAGTCGTTATCATGCGCATCCAAAAGATCCGGCTTATGTTAGCCAGAAAGAGTTGCGACGCATTTCCGAGCGATCGATATCGATTCCAAGCTCCGAAGACGATGCAATGCCACAGCCCAAGAATTTAGATGAGATCACCAGTCAAGGTTATCACTTCACCGAGAAAATACCATCGCCAATACTTGAAAGTTGTGAATTTCTCCATCGAACCGATGACGATGCGTACGAAACGTGTCAAGAAACAAAAGTCACATCCGATGTCGAATACACGTTAATCACATCGAAAGAGGTGCGAGCAACGAAAAAATCACGAACCAAACTAATTGAAGAATTTATCGATTCATCGATTGTTGTACGATCAAAGGGACATGCGCCCATTCTATTTGCACATGCTCGATTGAATTTGTCGGAAGGTTCGGCATTCGCGTCCCTGCAACGACAAATTGCAACCCAAGACTCACCAACAGCTGGCCGTCGTGCCAAGAGTCTTGACACACATGTTATTTCATTGAATAAATTGCCACCGATGAATGCATTTTCCACAAAAGACGATACCGTCGACGAAGAAGGTGAAATACTGGAAGAGAAACCATTGACTCCAAAACGAAGCACATTCAGTGCAAAATGTGGTTTAGATCCGAAGAAAATTGCAACCAAAAGTGATGTTACCTTTGACAATGAAGAAATGGAACTGCTGAACAATTTACAGTTCATTGAAAAAATCACGTTACAAGGTGTGAAAATAAAAGAAAAGAAAAAATCCAAAATGAAACTTCGCAGTGGTGATCATTTAATTCTTGATATTCCGCGCTATAAATTCGATCAATCGCCTTATAGTTCGGGTAACAGTTCGAATCGTACGTCACCCGGTGTGAGTCGTGCGAGTAGCATTGATAGTACCGGACGCGGCGGATTGAAAAAACATGCTTCTAAAAAATCGAAAGAGAAACTACTTCTACCACAAGATCCAAATCGTAAAACGAAAGACCATGCGAAAGACGATACAAAACGTAGCGATTCAAAAGAAAGGCCACGTTCGTTTGAAAAAGACTTTCCACGGCGATTGAGCAAAGAAAAAAGTCGTTCACAAGAAGAAAACGAATTGGATGCGGCCAAGCGTAAAGAACGTCAACAAAAACTATATGAATCGGCTGTAAAACAAACGATTCCAACACTGTTGAGCCCGGACAAAACAATTTTGCCCGCATTTCCAGTACCACCCGAAGATAAAATCTCTGTAACCACTGACGGCGATAATATTATCATTGACACGGAAATTCGTAGCAAAGCCAAAGATCATGTATTGATTGCAAAATCACCAAAGAAACTTGATTGTTCGTTGATAAAATTTAGTCGAAGTTTCGATGAGAATCGAAGTCAAGAAAAAATTGAAAAAGCCAATCGTAGTTTTGAAGATCGCAATAAATCGATGGACGAATCGGATCGTTCCGATAATGCAGAGGAAAAAGATAAAGACACAGATCATGCGCTGACCAAACAAAAAGTTGAAGGTCCGGTTGTTCATAAGCGTATCGATGAAAAATCTCTATCGCTGGAAAAGAGTAAAATTGCTCATCCACCGCCACAGTTTCTTGACATTGAAATAAAAACAAGAAGTTTAGATCGAACATTTGATCTGATCGATTCACTTACGCCAACACCAATTGTGGAGAAAAAACCGACGGTGCCGTCGTCAAAGAAGGGCGATGTCAAAAGTAAAACACAAGTGGTAAAACCAATACCAATTGAAGAGATGGACATGCAAGAGGTGATTGCCGAACGACGAAAATTAGAATTGCTAAAACGGCAATCGATGCCATCGGAAGAAAAGCCCAATAAAGACGTGCACAATGCCGAAGAAAAAATGGAAAGCGAAGAGGAGTCATTGACTTGGGTCAGTGAAATTCGGCCCGATGATGGTGTAGACGATGATGCTGTGGTGCCTCAATGGCATCACCGTATTCCGACTATTGAATGCGAAGAGCCATCGATCGAAGAACCGGATTACGATGAAGTGGCCGGCGATGAGAAACCAATACCACCCGTTCGAGTTCAATCGAAATTGAGCTACGAACGAAGTAAAAGTGATGAGTCTGGCTCATCATGGGTAACCATTGAGTGCGAAGAATTTATTGGCACCGATATTTCCGATAATACACCCACGAACATTGCCCATGATGTGCATGCCACGGTAAAGCAAAGCACTTTGGAAGATGTGAATAACGAGGAGCTCATACAAGCAAATGAATCGGGCAATGTAACACCGACGCCCGAAACAATTATGACGAAGCCAGATGTCACATTGGTAGCCGATGCAAAAATGAGAATTGATGAAAGGCGTAGCTTTTCGAAACAAAGTACAGATCGTTCGCGTAGCACTGACACTCAATCGTCCATTGAAAAAACAAATAATTTGCAATTAAATCGAGCCTCGTTGGACGATGAATCGAGTGTGAGTTGCTCGATTTCACGGCCACTTGGCATTTCACAATCAATCGATGCAAATGACGAAACAAAATGCACAGAATTACGCGAAAATATGCTTTTAAAATTGAAAAAAGATTCACAAGTTTCACCAAGCTCACCCGAAGATGGTCACGTTAAATCGCCAAGCCTTGAAAAGCAAAGTCCAATTGATTTGGGTTCGAGTACGGAACAGGATGCGATTGAAGAACGTATTTCAAAGCTATTGGCACGAAGCGATTCAAGCGGCAGTTCTGATTCGAATGGTAAAAAGAAAAGTTCAAAACATTTAGCGCCCGAACAAGAAATCGCTTCGGTGCATAAAAAACTGCATCGGCTCGATGAGAAAGGTGAATGTTCGAAAAAGTTGAAAGCACAAACGAATGAAGTGAAAGGAAGCGATAGCGATCAACGAAGTTCGTTGGAATCAAAATCGAGTGCCGAATCAAAGGGTTCGTTTGAAACGGAAAGTAGTAGTGGTTCAATGGGTGCAGCACAACGCCATGGTATTCTACAGCAAAAAGAACAACAATCGACTTTTAAAGCATTCAATGTTGAAAGTTCAGGTAGTTCCAGTTTAGACGATTGGATTGCAATGGAAGACGATCTGGGTCGTAGTAGTAGTAGTACCACAGATAAACGTAATTTGGACGAACAAAAAGAAAGCGATTCAAGCATTCAAGATGAGATAGTCGAAGTGACACCGAACTATGGTGCCAATTCAAGTGACATAATTCCATACAATTCGAATTTTACATTGAGTAGAACGCTGTCAAGAATTTCAGAACGAAGTACGGCTTCGGAAAAATCAAGTTGTGAGGAGGAGATTCGTAGCGGCGAAATGAGTCAAAATGACGCTGAAAGCATTCATGAAGAGTGTTCGATCATTTCGAGTGATCATCAAGCAAGCATCAGTTCTGATTCACGTAGTATCACAAATTTTGCTTATATTTCGGACGGTGATCGTCGAACATCGGCTGAAATGCCCGAAATTCCATGCGATTCACAATTGAGTGATCGTTTGGCCGATATTTATGGCATCGATGAAGCGACTGGTGTAAAAAACGGCCGCTTCTGCATTACAAACGTTGAAGAAGGTGCTGCACGGGCATGCGCCTCACGACGTGGACTAATTGGTTCAAATATTCCGCCGGCAACTGATAAACGCACTTTGGAATGTTTATCGAATGCGGGTAGCCAAGATTCAGAGGATTTTCCACTGCCTGATATTCCATACGATGATAGTTTGCCATCGCAACAAGACATAACGATTGAAACTCACATTCGAACGGTCGATCAGCCGATTCAAAAGCGTACATTGCCGCGTACATTTTGTTGGAAAACTTCCACTTCAATTCGATCACAAGATTCGGAAAATTGGCCATCGCCGCCAGATAGTGCTGAAATTGAAACGCCAGTTGTTGAAGAAATTTCCACATTTTTCACTGATGCGCCCGAAATTGCGTCTCAAGTTATGGTCGATTCATTCACAGACACAACCGTAACACCAACCACGGCCCATCCAAACGAAAGCGACAATGAAGATGATATTAGCCAAATGGCCGACATTTCCAAAGACAATTCACAAACGGAAAAAATTATCGAAACTCCAATCATAAGTCCAATTGTTGAACAAAGTCAACAAATTCCAACTTCCCCTGTCATCGGTGCTGGTGGCACTTCTTATTTGCCAAAATCATCGCCGGCAAAAGAATCCAAATGTTATGTTGATCCATATGAGCCACAAAGTTGCTTAAGTTCAGCATCATGTTTGAGACCATCGAATACATGTTGTAAAGGTCACAAGCATAATGTGGGCTTGATCAAAGAACAACTCGATACGGAGAAAGTGATTGTTTTGCAACCGACACGTTCCTCTCCGCCTCAAAGTGAAGTGATGGGCTTTGACGACGAACCATTTGTTGTTGATGATGTATTTAGTCCAGGCACCGTTGAAATGATTGTCTCTCCGGATGACACAAAATTCGCTGAATATTTTAATCGTAAAATTTCACGCAGTTCCAACAATTCGGATACATCAAATGATGACATTCTTTCGAGCACCTTTGATCGCGATGAAATCACCGTGAAGCGTCGCAGTCTCGAAACCGAACAAGTGACAAAAAGTAGTAGTGGTTCATATAAAAAATGTAGTCATTCAAGTCATTCGGAAGAGGAGACAAGTTCATTTGGTACGGACTTAGATGGTACCGTTCGTATGGGTAAACCAATTAAATGTACACACAGTTCACATTCCGAAGACACTTCAATTGGTTTGAGTATATCTGAATGGAGTACGGGCACAAATACGGTGCGTCAATATGCCAATTTATCCGGTTCGGATAGTTTGTCGGCGGTATCAAATCATTCGGGGGGCATTAAAAGTGAATCGAAATCGAATCACACCAAATCGAGCATGAGTTCGCTCAATAAGTCGATTGAAAGTCTTGACGAGAAAAGTGTTGGCAGTTTTTCAAGTAGTAAAATTAAGAGATGCTTTAGCGGTGGCAGCAACAGCAATGACCCCATTAAATATGAACAATTTTTCTCAAGTTCTGACACCGATAAATTAACCGAATCGATTTCGGGCACACCAAAAAGCGACGATACTACAATGACCCTAACCGAAATTGCTCAGAGCATCACTGAATGGTCGACGAGCAGTAGTAAAACACTTGTCGCAACAATCTCACAACTTGATTCATCGAAAATGGCTTCGACCAGCGACAGTAATTCAAGCACATTAAAAAGTAATGGCGACTCAATTCGAACGGCACCGATGAAATCGACCGGTGGAATTGAATACATTCAATTGAAACAACATCGTCAAATATCGTCAAAAGAAGAGGAAAACGGTAAAAAATCACCGCCAAAATCGACCGAACGACCGGTTAAGATTCCACCGCGAATTGTTGACATGCAAGAAAAGAAACCACAATTTAAAGGCACCTTTGAGGAATCGTCACCGATAACGGTGTCGGGCAAACGACGATCACTTGAACTCATGTCAAAACGGTATCAAAGTCAAGACATTGTGTCCGAAAGTGATCAATTCGTTGAGAAATTGTACGGTCATGATGAAAAATTAACGGAACGATATCAAAGTCAGGAGTTCCAACAATTGCATTCGATGAAAACGCCGTCAACACTTTGTGCGATTGATGAAGGTGCAAAACAAATGGATGACGAACGTATGAGCCCCTACGATAAACCATTAACTAAATATCACAGTTACGATGATAAGACATTGTCGAAGACTCAAATTCGTGATTATAAAACGGCATTGAAGGTGCGTCAAAGTAATTCATTTCATGAACACATGTTGACCCTGCCACCGAGTCAATCAGAGTGTTCGCAAATTATTGAAGAAGAGGGTGGCCAAAGCTCTTCGACCACCGTTACATCGCAATTAAGCGGTGAAACGAGTACCGAAAATTCATCTCCAATGCCAACACGGCCCGATAAACTGATCAAATGTTCGCCATACTATTCGAGCAGCTTGAGCTCCGATTCACCGCCAATTCAAGCAATTCAAAAGCCACCGCGTAAAATGTCGTTAACCCGCTTGAAGAATCCATCAAGTGGCAATGAAACAGACAGTTCTGTCGATTTTCGACAACAAGATCCAAAACTTCGCACGAAAGGTATGCGAAAAAAGCGACAAATTGCAAATGTAAAACGAATTAAAGTGCCAACTTCACCTGTAATCGAACATGAAAGTTCGGCTGAAAGTTCCGATATTTCAAAAGAACAAACCTATTCGCATGAATATTACGAAGAAGTTGACGATGACTACTACGAACAAACCGACATTGAATCAAAACATTCGGGACCATATCCGTCAACGTCAAAATCGACCAAATTCGAAAGTCTTGATATGTCTCATGATCTCGTTGATGAGATGGGCTTTCCAAAATACGATCGCCTCAGTCACATAACGAATCCACTTTATAAACCACAAATAACACCGAAACCAACAATCGCACCAAATCCGACTGGACAATCGAACAATTTTGGCACACAACCACCCGAAAAACCAGCACGCAACCAAAAGAAACGACCCATTAAACGGGAAGATTCAATAAATACGGGTTCAACGTATGAGTGCGATACACCGCCCAAAACAAGCATACGAACACAAAATTATTCACAACACGACGAACCAAAATCCGAAACTCAATCGAGCATATCGGATAATATTTACTATTCGAGCGAAGAAAGTAATAGTTTGCAAATGTCATCGACAACCGCCCGCACTGTGGTGCGTTTGTCGAATATTGAATACGAAACATTACAGAATATTCCCGACTGTGGATCCGACGCAGAGGGCTCCGAATTTTTCGATTTAAATGAAACGGTCGTGCCGCCGCCAATGTTTTTGGGCGGTGACGAATCCGAATTAAGTGACGAGCAGTAAATCCTATATGTCCCTTCTTTCATTTAGTAAACGCATTGGAATAAACTTTTGTTCTATATAGAAAAGAAACGGAGAAGATGAAAAAGGAAATCAAAAGAAAGTATAGAAATGTTTATATGATAAAGGCAATCAAAATTATGTTTAACAGTTTTACACAAGTTCGAATACACACACAATGTGAATGTTTTTGACAATTCAGATTATTTTATTCTCAGTTATTTTGAGCACAAGCATTATGTGCCAAATAAAATATAAACCGATACTGTGATTTTCTATCCAAGTCCGATTTTGTTGAAAACAAGATAATCGCCAAAAAAGTATACTTTTAATCAAAATAGCACCGTTAGAATCACACCCTATTAATTCCCTTACTGGAAACTTTTTTTCATTTATAAATTGTACCTATGGATGAGTAATAATGATGAGTTGCCAAACTCTTGTTTAGCCAATTTAAAAAAAAGTGGCCTCTGAATGCCAAAATCAAATAATATAATATATTCAATCCCCAGTACAGATGATAGCAACACAAAAAGTGAGAGGATTATAATAAAACCAGAAATAAAAAATATTTAGAGAATGTCATATATGTTCTAATCGTCAACGGAAATTGTGCCAAATATTTATATATATATATATATAAAAAGGAATGATATTGTCATACAAATAAAAAGAATGGCTCTAAACGATAACAATTAACAGGAAAATACTGAAAATATACTATTTGTTTTCTAATAGCTTTAAAACACCCCTCAGACACTTTTTATTTCCATTTATTTGATTCACAAAATCTAAAGAAAATTACATTCATTGAAGAACAATAACAAAAATCCAAAAAAAATATCTATTTGTTAATCGATTAATTTTTCAAACAAAATACAAAACCATTTAGTTATTGGTATTCAATTACACAATTTTAGCGAATCGGTAATGTGAAATGTTACGAAATGAATGTGTCAGATTTAGAAGAAAAACAATAATAAAAATCGAGTTTTTTTTCCAAAAATCACTATACTGATCGAATGGCGGAAAAATCGAATCAGATAAAACTGAATATGAGTGTCTGTTAGAGAAAATCGTTACGTTTTCAAAGGTTTTTATGTGTTAAATATATAAATATATTTAATGATCAAATTATTGAATTAAAATCTACCAAAAAAGTAAATGTTGTGTGCGTTTTTCCCGTAAGATGGTTGTTTTAAATCGATTTACGTTTCTCCATAGAATTTAAGCGATTAGCGAAATATTTTTTGTTTTGATTTTCTCTCGTTCTACTATTTGATAATACGGAGAAAATCTTGAAACTGAAAAAGATATTTATATTTGATCGATTGAAAGTAAAGTGCAGAACCACATTTATTTTGGAAGAAATACGATATGGTCGTATAAATTAACGAGGATTTGAATAATTGGTTGAACAAAATTTTTTGTGATGTATGTGGCAAAACTGTATTTACTATGGGCATTTTTCAACAACAAAAAAATCAAAATATTTCTTTAGCTAATTTATTTCCAGACATTAGGTTTGAGCTATGGATATAGCGGCTGCTAATTCATAGCCGCTATTCATAGGCGCTATTTATCTCATTTTAATGCATTTATGCATATTGTGCGTTATTTTCTACATCTCTCTCGTACTCACATTCAAATGTACAAAAGAATAGTAGGCTATGATATTCCTCCTCGGTGTTACACACAGCACACGAATTAAATAGCGCCTATGAATAGCACCTCTAAAATAGCAGCCGCTATATGCATAGCTCGAGCCTAATGTCTGGATCTTTTGAAAAGTGAATACTTATAATATTATAATAACCGATTGAGTTCAATTCCAAAAATTATTTATCATCAAACTCACTACCCTCACAATATTAGCATTTTGATAAGCAAATGCAATCAAACACTTTCAATAAAGACGAAATTTCAGCAATTTTGCAAAAACACCACGAAACCTTGGCACAAAGAAATCCTACAACAATCGACAAAAGTTGAGCGAAAATGTAATGATGTGACAATGATAAAGATTGCAAACAAATTTTGTGTCCAATATATTTGCACTTTTATTCCAAAAAAATAAATAAATACAATTAAAATACAACACCCACACTCAATCTCAAACAATCAAATAACCACAATAAATTCACGATGGGTTGATGAATGCGAAGCATTTAATGCTCCGAATAAATTTATGTACGCAAAATGAAGTAAATAAATAAAAATATATTAGAAAAATTTATTCCACCAAATTTGAAATGACTTTCTATCGCATGCATTCAAACCGAATGTTCAAATTCAGTTTTTTATCGATATTTTTATATAGTTATTTTTTTGTTTGAATATATGAAATTTCGTTTTGAATATACTTCGATTTTTTTTTTGGGTTAAATTTTTTTAATTTAACTTAAAATGCATGAATTGACAATGAGGTCACCAGGGTGATTCTGTAATGATATTTGTATGAAACTATGCATATCTCATGCACTCGGATACAAAAACCATTCCACAATCGTTTCTAAATTTAAATAGGGCGAATTGAGCGTAAGTAAGGAGTATTTCGAGAAAATGTATGATTTCCTTACAATTTATACTGTATGGTGAATAATTTTTCCGTTCGCTCTTCATTTCCGTAGAAATATTTCTTGTGTATTTCCGCATGAATCGTAGCAAATTCATAATTTGAACATTTTTCTTCAATTATTTTTTGTAACGAAGTGACATTTTTAGAGATATTTGTTAGAAAGTGAAATGAGTCAAAAGCAACAATAAATTAATCGAAAATTTCAATATTTATTTCAAAGATGTCGGTAGCAATTACGGAATCAATGGAAATGTTTCATTGAATCGTCAAGGTGAAATAGGATCGCCGCAGCATCGTTATGATTTGAGTATGGGATCAGATAAATCGTCATCGCTATCACGATCTGAGGGTGGTGTGTATGATGTGGTCCAAGCAGAAACAAGAATCACCAATAGTCATCCCGAAAACAATGGAAACATTTCCAACAACGAAACATATCCGATGAATGGCCATTCAACGCTTGACTCACGGGACAGTGATTCGTCAAAGAGAAGGGTAAGAAACGATACATTTTCATCGCTTTTTAATGACCAAATGAATCAAAAGTTAACTTTTGTTTTTCTTTCAGCTATCGCCGAACGAAAAGTCATATTTCTTGGCAAGAGAAATACTAATGACTGAACGAACGTATAAAAAAGATTTGGACATTTTAAACACATGGTTCCAAGATGAATTGCCACCCGAAAATGTTGAATCACTTCAACCGTTATTCCAATTGATTGAATCGATGAATCAACATCATGGTGTGTTCTTACGAGATCTTGAGCATCGTATTCTACTCTGGGAAAATCGAAATATGACTGACACACATCACATTGGAGACATCATGCTGAAAAGCATGGTTGTACTGCCTGTATACGAAGAATATTTGGAAAGTCATCGTGAGTTTTTGGAGCGTCTAAACGATTTATACGAAACAGATGATGCATTCCAGCAAATTTATCGCGAATTTGAACAGCAGAAAATATGCTATGTGCCCATTGCTACATTGGTGCTGAAACCATTACATCGTTTGCTACACTATCAACTCGTTTTGGAAAGTATGTAATTGGTTTTTTTTTTTTTAAATATGAAACTTGACTTTGGTTTGTTAAATAAATGACATTTATTTTCTCTGTTTAGAATTGTTGGAGTTTTATCCAGAAGAGCATCCCAGTAGTGCAGACTGTCAGGGAGCACTGGTTATGTTGTCACGAACCACCGAAAATGTACGGCAAAGTTTGGAAGAATCGGAGAATTTCCAGTTGTTATGCGAACTACAACGAGATTTGGGCGGATTTACACTATTGGTCAATAGTAATCGCATTTTCATTCGACAAGGATGCCTATTGAAACATTCCAAACGTGGTTTGCAGCAGAAAATTTTCTTTTTGGTATGTTTGACCATCATTGTTTCAATGTAAATTGTATTTTAATTTCAATATGAATTAATGGTTTCTTTGTAGTTCTCGGATGTACTTTTGTATGGTAGCAAATCGCCAGTCACTCAACAATTCAAAATTCTTGGCCATGTTCCACTTCGATCGTTGATTACGGAAAATGCCGAACACAATACATTCATCATTTATGGTGGACAAAAGGCAATAACTGTTAGCACTGGAACGACAGCTGAAAAAACATTGTGGTTGGCCGAATTATCCAAAGCATCGACTGAAATCAAATCAAAACCACATGTTCAACTCAATTTGGGAACACTGAAAAATTGCAGTAAGTGTCATTGTCATGCGATATATCTATATCGAATATATGAAATTGTAACAAATGTCAACTTTTCTGTAGGTTCATCTGAAGAAGGATTGGATTCGTGTGGTGCCCAATCATCACAAAAAGTACCATCGACAGCAACTGTACGAAGCAATAATGCAATACATGTGTGTTGGCATCGTGGAGCAACGGTTGGCCTTCGAGATTTTCTCATTTCATCCGAGAACCAATTGAGCGGCTATTTATTGCGAAAATTCAAAAATAGTTCAGGATGGCAAAAATTATGGGTCGTATTCACATCGTTTTGCTTGTTCTTTTATAAGAATTATCAAGATGAGTTTGCACTCGCCAGCCTGCCATTACTTGGGTAAGATACCAATAATTATTTAACTGTCTTCCGATGTGAAGTAATAATGTATTTTGATTGCATTTCATAGATATTCCGTTGGTCCACCCAGTTTCCAAGACACAATTCAAAAGGAATTTGTATTTAAGCTATCGTTTAAAAATCACGTGTACTTTTTCCGCGCTGATAGTCAACACACCTATAATCGCTGGATGCAAGTTCTCCGAAGTACGACACAAACGCAAGATTTCAAAAATACTCGCGGAACGCATTAATAATATGTATACAAGACAAAGACATGTTGGAGCCACGTTTTATACGATTTCGATCAAGTTATTTATTGTTTTATTTTCTGTTTAAACATCATGAATTCGATTAAATTGACTTGTATTCTTTTTTTTAGATTAGACATAGAATTCCATGTTTATTTGGACTGTTGGAATATATTTTTGATAAATTGAATGTTAGCATAAACAGTTTTTGAGCACGTTAATTAATTGACACGATTTAGATTTCTTTTTTTTGTCGAAACTCACCGAGTGAGTTGAAGATTAGATTATTATTTTTCTGTATAGATTTATATATGGACTTTTCAATATGAAAACAAAAAGATTATGAAAAATTGTTAAGATAAAAAACGAATTTTACTCTAATTATTATGAAATAAATATAGATTGACCAAATATTCTAACAAAAAGCAAATCTTGTTTAAATTATTTTATTTTATTTTTTCTAGCAGAGAAGTCACCTTTGTTGCTTTCAAATTAAGTCGAGTTGTTTTTGTTCTCGGAAGCTGAGTCAACACCTATGAAACTTACCACTTTAGCACTAAAATCCTTCGCTTTACCCCATATTCCAATACATTCAACAGTTTCAATGAAAATCGTGCAATTTTTCTTTCATATAAAATACCTTTATTCGAAAATGATTATATCAAAAATGTACATAATCAAATAATTCGTTTTTTCTTTAATTTGGTTCAACAAACAAACAAGAAACATATACCAAAGTTCTATAAAATAATGATTTATCTTATTTTGAAATTATTTCATTAATTCTCATGCGAAAATATGTTGATCTTCATAAAAGTGATTTTAACCTTCAAATACTTAAATAGTTATACTTAATTTTTTTCTGCTTTATTCTTGATTAATATGCATTTAATATGTTCGAAAACATTGTCCAGCAAATTAAAAGCATTCGCTGAAGACGAAGTGCGAAAAAATGTCACGTCGCGCGGCCTTGATCGACACTGTAAAATCGTCTGTGTGATATTGATTTGAAATGCGACGACTGGATCGATATATAATGTCTTTGGCAAATTCGATTTTGATGGTGTAAGATGTCTCTGGTTCCAAAATGACGTTTTCAATCGAAATAAAGTTTTTCGGCTCGTGACGAAATACATTGCTGTATTGGATTTGTTGTTCAGCAATCATTCTACCGGCATCCGTCTGTAAAATCGTGATTTTACCTTTTGGTGCACCAGTTACCGTCGAAAATGCCATACCAATCAATGCCACCTCTTTTGTCGATTGAAATTCAATGGAAATTGGCACATCTGCATAGCATGCCTGCGGAGACAAAATCGTTTCCCGGAAGCGATCAAAAATCAACTCATCGCTTTCAATTTGGTTGACATCTTCCTTTACACATGTATAAAACATACTGTTGCAGCAGTCCAATGAATTATCAAGGTGCTGGCTGGTAACCAATGGTGATGACAGCTCGACTTGTTTTGTATCATCATCGAATAGCTCTTTGCTATTTTCCATGGTGCTCTTCAAAAATTCATCATTTTTTGCGGCAAGCAATTGCATTCGGTTAAAACACTTGCCCAACAATTCTCGGCGCTGTCCCATATCGGATGCATCAATCGACCGCATAATGCACTGTTTTTCAGCCCAATTCATGCATGCATTCCATACCATTGTGATTTCATCATCGTTTTTAATCGTCACATTCTCCAAAATGTCGTTGAGTGCATCTTGATCGCATGCAAAAAATGATTGCGTCTTAAACACCTCATGTTTCTTCTCGTTGATTTGCTTGAAGCAATGAATTTTCAAATCGGCCAGCCCAAATTCAATGGCCAAACAATAGCCGAAACAAATTTGATTCAATGGCAGGTTTTTGATCAAAAATCGTTCGGACGCCTTAATACAGTGGCCAACTTCGAACGTTTTCGCCAACGTCAATACTTTGGCTGCATTTTCGATGGTGAAATTTTTCTCCGGACTCGACGAATAGAATGTGAACAAAAACTCTTCAAACGATGATTTTGTTGAGTTGAAAATTTCGATTTTCTTCAAATCAACGCAATCGGTGAAGCGCTTCGAAAATTGCCAACTGCCTGATGATAGAATTACTTTGTGCGATGGAATTTTTACCGTTCCCACGTCAGTTTCGATGATGAAATCAATGTCGGCCAAATTTTCGTTCAAAAATTGACTTTCCAAATAACGAAGATGCTCCATGGTAATACTTTACTTTTTTTTGTTGAAAAATTTTGGTTTTAAATTCAATTGTAAGAAGATGATAAAAATCGTTGACAAAACTTGTGACAGACTTTGGCGCAAACAGAACAACGAACAATGAGCTAATGAGCGCTTTCGAATGAAGTATTCAAAAGTACCGTTTTACAGATAATGACGATCATCTCAACAACATTGTTATCTGATGATGTTGTATTGATGTGATTGAACGAGCACACCGTTTGAATATTATTTGAAATCATAAACAAACGTTTGGAATGTTATTTGGAAAAGGCGGTAGAAAATCGATTAAAAAATGGAAAAATTATTTCAAATTGATGAAATTATTGGTTGGGTTGCGAAAAACGTTTTTATCGAAACGGTACTGCATATCCAATAAGATGTTTTTGTTTTGAATACGATAAAATCTACAGACCAAAACACGGTGACATTGAATGCCTTCATTTCGAAACGAAATTCGACATAGCTCTCTGTCAATGTTAAACAATTTTTAATGTCTAATTTTAAATTTTCGTTTTCATTTTTTCTTAAACCGAAAATATTTCAAGTGAGCCAATTAATTTTTGTTTGTGAAAAATTATGAGAAATGTGCAGTAATATTTCAAATATACAAATTTCACCATCAATCGTGTTTCCCGTAGTCGCATTGAACGCATCCATTTCCAAATGAAATCGAATTAGTCAATTCACTTGCGAAAATGCGTACTACCAGCATGAGCATGACACATACACAGACACATGTACCAACAGAGCGACGAAATAGTGTGTGATATGGTATAATGCTATTGTACAAATACATGCGCCTGTCCCACTTGCACAATCAAAATCGTGCATGTAAATAGACTCGAATCGTTTTTCGTCTTGTCAATTTTTCTCTCTTTATGTGTGTCAATGAAGTTTTTTTTGTGGATTCATGCGACTCTTTTGTAGTTTTCATTGTATTTGACTTCAAACCGAAATTTGGTGTGTTTTTTTTTCGCTACACAACTGTGGTCATCTGTCGCTGTTTTAAATATTTAGTATAATTATCGTGTTCATGTTTACGATAACCAAATTCGAATCCAGTTGAAATCACAGTAAACCACATAATTTGATCAAACCAATAATGGTGAGTATGATGATTGATTTGAATGTATCTATCTATCGTATAAAAAAACGCACCAAAGACTGGTATTGATATCGCGTCATTCGAATCGACAAACAACATTTGTTGGACAATATCAAGGTCCTAAATGCGAGTTATTGTTTTTTTGTGTTTTTCTATTGCGTTCAATGTGAATGACTCATTTATTTGATACTTATGGTCATAGAATGTCACGCAATTTTGCCTACTTTTAATTTTGATGATCACTATGTCATTTGTGTTGATTGATTTATTCTATTTAGGTAACTTCGATTCCATTGTCGGCTATTGAAGGTTTGCTGAACGAATTTAACTATCCGAGCACAAGCAATGCGCGTAAACATGAAATTGAAAAGCAACTGATTGAATTTCAAAATGACATACGCTCGTGGCCACAGTGTTTGTATCAGTTGAACAATGCAACAGCGAATGGTCATCAATTCTTTTGGTTTTTCAATGCATCAACAATTGAAGCGGCCATCGTACGAAAATGGAAATATCTTGATGAAAGTGATCGGATGCGATTGCGAGACACTTTATGGAATTGCTATGCAAATCTAAATGTGGCCACGGTGTCGCGTGTACAACGCGAAAAAATCGCCCAACTCATTGCATTGATGGGCAAACGTGAATTTCCCGATGAGCATTCATCGTATATGTGTCATTTAATGGAATTGTTGAAAACAAATTTCATCCTAGGTATCACATTACTTCGGACAACATCTGAAGAATTAGTTAGCACACGTGATGACATTACGTCGGATCGTAAAAAATATTTTCATTCCAATTTGAGCTTGTGTATGCCAGAAGTGTTTCAATTGTTAACAAAATTTCTTGTGATTCATGCATATGGTCTGAATGGAATTGATTTTGCAACGGTGCCAAGTAACTTTTTGGATCGCGAACTGATTCAATCACTGCCAAAGGATAATCGATTGTGGTACGTTTTTAAATATAAAATAGCATCCATTGAACATACACTTTGGTGTTATGATGATGCAATCATAGCTGCTGGAAATGTAATTTATTTTTAATCGCTTTTTTTATAGTTTATCTGCAATAGAGTTATTAAGTTGTGTACAGCATTTACTGTCGTGGACATCAACTGAGGAATTATTACACGAGCAACTACTCATAAATCTTTTTGATTTGGCCAACTGGAAAGAAGTGAGTCATTCATTCATTTTTTATCACATCCTCTGACGAATACAAAACCACACATTTAAATCTCACTTTCACTCTGTCACAAATAGCATGATAGCGACGTTTCAGTTGCTGCTTTGGGTGCAATCACCGAACTCTTTTATCGTCAACAAACGTTGCCATTACCCCATGTTATCGCCAATGGAATAAAAAATATTCTGAAACAACCACGGCTGATTGTGACCAATGAAATGTATCAGGACAAGTTAACTGAATTACTGCGGCTATTTATCGCACAACAATGGTCACGATGGATTGACGATGAAATTGTATTCCCTGAATTCATCACAGCACTGTATAGTTTCACGTTTGAAAGCTATGCACCCCTTCCATTCACTGAAAAATTAACCATTTGGCATCCAATCATCACTGGACTGGCATCAAGTGGCTTTGGACGATACACCCAAACCATGCATTTATTGGTCGCCGGAATTTTACAAAAAATTCAATTTCGCGTCGATTTAGAGGAATTGAAAACACTGGATAATGAAAATCTCGATGATGATGTAAGTATTCGGTCAAGTACATACAAAAAAATGGCAAAATATTCAAAACACACTCATTTCAGATGCTCACCGATTGGCAGCACTACTTGACACAGTGCATAGAAACGATCGCTTTGGTGGCCGAAGTAAAACCGCTTCAAGTATTCGAACAGGTCTATAGTGAATGGAGTAAACCATTCGAAATTTTTGAATCATTAGAAAAATCAATCGATTCCAATGGAACGCTAATCATAAATGATAACCAACGAAGTCAGTTGGTGTACTGTATTCTCCGTGACTTATCATCACTATGTCAAACATTGACACGATTGACACCAATTCTACAAGGTAATATTAGAAAATCTACTCATTTACCTTGAATTTAATTGAAATTCATTTTTCACTTCGCAGGATGTTTACAAGAGATTCCAAAGAATTTGTCACAAATAACGTATTGCCTTATTTATGCGATTAAATTTATTGCGGTGAATAAATTGCATTCGATATCATTTGGTGATTCGTCGCTTAGTACAAATTTTGTCGAGATATTCGCTCAGCTCTTGAATTCTATTCGAAATCTGTTGCCATGGTCACCGATTCTTCGAAGTGAACACGAATTGAAATCGTTGATCGAGAATGTGGCACAAATTCTGATGCCACCATCCAACCTATTGCAAGAGCCGAAAATGATTACATTAGCTGCAGCACAATTTTTACTCACAGTGTCATCGGTCAACCGTCCACAGTACATGTTGGATTGTCTATCGTTTAAGCAGCTCATTCAAATGGGCAACAATTTAACATATTTGGACCAACAAGCAGCAACCATTATTCGAAATGCAATTGTTAATTGTTTGGTGTTGTCATGGCCGAATGTCTCAAATGCCGAACAAGCGTTTGATCGACGACTCACACTGTTGCAAGAGTATGTGCACAATTTGTCAGAGAATATGCTGAATTTGGACCATTCTGTGATGCACAATCAACATGACAAAGTTATAAAGGTGATTACAGTGATTTTGCCCATTTTGAACGAAATCATCGATCATCATCGCGAATCATCGTCATCTGTTAAACAAATGCTGGTCAGTGCGTATAGGCCACCAATCACAAAATCCATTTTGATCTACAAAGAATTTGGTGCGGTGAGTGAAGAGATTGCCAGTTGCGTCCTTAAATTTGCACTCAGCGTCATTCGAACGCTTCAAATTCAATTGGGATCACAATACATCTTCGAAATGTTGGACATTTTTATTAAAACAACAACAAGGTAAGAGACAATTTTGAGAGTTTTTATCGTTTTGACCCTGCCTGGTTATAAAGGTGTTTTTGTCAAAGTTTGAATTTAACGAACAATTTCAAATCATTGCAGAGAACAATTGACGACCAATCGTTACAAAGCTGTCGAAAAATTACTTCAAATGCTACTGCTGGTCGTGCAACAGCCGGGAAGTCTCGGTGCAAATCTGTTGCCATCAATTTTGGATTTCACATTGAATTTCGTATCGCCACTTTTGATGCAAGGACGAAATCCAAGCGAATTTTGTGATGTGGCTCATGCTCTATACTGCTTATTTGATGGGTATGAAAAATGAACCTCTGCTATGACATTACAATTTTACTAATGCTTCGCATTTTTACTATCAGAATTTTGACAAGTCGTTGGCAATACTTTTACAAATCGCAAGTATTACGTGGTTTCTCACCCGGTGCTAGTGATCAACCCATACCAATCGAAGACCAACCGGAGCATGCCCATGAACTGTTGGCCATCATGAATAGCTATGGTCAAGCATTGGTGCAAATCATCGATCCACATATCACACAAACCGTATTAACATCATTACAATGTTTACACGGACGTTGGAAGCTATTCAATCGCCAATTTTTCAAAACAAACCTACTGGGATCGTTCCTGGAAACATTACTAGGTTTATTAATTTCACCTAATGGTATTTTGCATCAAGATCAATTGATTAGTGTCCTGTTCAACATGAGTCATGCCAACGAGACTGCATTGCAAACAGCATTCGTGACTCTTGGATACGCGCACGACTCAAAGTTTATCCATGACATTTGTTCGGCAAAGGTAAGCAGTTGTAATGAAAGTAACAGCTATGATGTCAGCAATTGAATGAGGTCAATGAATGTGCATGGCATGCGGCTCCAAATTAATGAATGAAATATATTATGTTGTCACACATGCAGCGTGCACTTAGCTGTACCCGAATTCTTATGCTGTCATTAGCATTGAAAGAATCACTGAAAAAAATAATTTAATTGAAATCGATTTTTTCCTCCCAAAAACAGGATTTCCCAACATTTTCAGCAAAAACGGCGCAGTGGGTAGCAGATGCAAAATGTATACAATCACAATAACAAACAGTTCATCAGATACAAGATCATTTTCCAAATACAAGACAATTCTCCAGCACGAATACATTTGGTTTGGTTTTGTATTCGACGTTTTTTTGCTCTTTTTGATTGTTTGTGATAGAAATCGATTTCATATTTTCAAATGAAATCAGCATGATTGGAATTTCCGCGTAGTGAAGTAAGGGTATTATTTTTTTTTCATCTGCGTCAGCATGCATTTAATTTTTTTTTTATAAACGAAGCATAAAATGGAAAATTTCGTTAAAATGCAATACATAATTCGATCCGAAGCGTGATCGATCAACTCAGTTCATTGTGGTATATTCAGTCTTTGTTTATGTCGCACAGTAGAGATTATATTAGTTTGCTAGGTATAAACGAAAGTGAATTGCTTTTTGTTGATTGAAATGAAGCCAAAGACTGTCTATACAAGAGAAACAAAAGAAAAACAGAAAATAGTGAAAACACATTCGAGATATTCGCCTGATAAAAACAAAAAAGACATTTGATTAATCTACAAACGATTATTTTACTTTAATAAAAGCAT